TGCACGTAGACTTATAAAGTTTTTACTATATCGCATTTTTTACATGCACGCATCAGATTTTTACTATGCTGGATTCTCTGAGCGCACAACATCAAATAAGTGCTTCGCCATATGTATGTTTATGATTGTATATAACCATATACATGTATAATTGTGTTCGTCTATAGCCGGAGATAAGTTCAACCATGCATATGTCCACAAATCAAGGTCATAATCCCACAAGCCTAAGGTTTTAGGGTATTCATTCTTGACTCCATTTGTATGTAGGCTTGAGTGATACTGATCCCCTATACTTGGGCAAAGACGACGTGGACAAAGCGTTGCTGAGTCGCCTGTCCAAGCCAAATGCACAGAAGCCCTTCTTATACCTGTTGCAGTGCTACTCGCGCGCCAAGAACTTGAGTAGGCGGTTGGCCCCATCGGTATGTGTCTTTACCGTCTATGTGTAACCGAAACACCAGTATTTTCAGTTCTATCTACCCTGAAGTCCCTATACCTCTATCCCTAGTATAGCCACATCTACTCGTAGTACAGTTGTATCTACGCTAGCACACTCGCCCATGGCTCATGTGGCTGCCTAGACGAAGTGCCTTTGACGTACTTACATGGGATTGTATGCAACTGTGGGTATATGTTTACGGTTGTCACTTGTGCATGAGTGGATGCATCGTCTGTCTTTCGTTCGCCTCGAACTTAAGCGTTCCGTGTATACTGCCGGGTGTATGTTGATCGCGATTAACGGATTTGCAAGTATGAAACCCTTTGTACCCTATGACAAGTTGCCATATCCAACAGGAATTTTATCTGCTACAGATGCTGCTTGTTTGTATTCTAGTCAACATGTGACATGTTCGGTACTTTTGTTTTATGTACAGCAGTGTACGTGTGGACAATCAAACGAAAGGTGGCTCGCTTATGATGTTAGTATGTAATCATGTAGTATGTTCGCATCCGCACACACTGGATGCCTCGATGCAACGCCTGCGTACGTCTACTGTGAGTACTATCTCCACAACTATACCTACCCTAAATAGATGATAAGTCTACTTTCCTAGCATAACTAGATCAAACGACACCGTATATCGAGCTTGGCTAGCGCTCGTTGCCCAGTCCAACACGGGCCACGTCATTGGAGCGTCCCGGTTTGAAAGCGGTGATAGCGGTACATACATGTATTACCTTCATTGGCTCTGGTGTGCAGACAAAAGTCTAGGCTAAAACCCTAAGACATCTTCGAGCTGTACAGTCACCACTATGGGGGTCGAGCACTACCTGCATGGTACATTGTATTCACCTGCTTACCCATTCACCTTACCCATTCACGCCAACTCCCATTCACCCGCTTTACCCCCTGCGCCTACAGAGCGCACTCACACCCCATCTGCGAGAGATGTACAACGAGGCCATGGTCTTAATTGCGGGATATAGCGGGATGCAATTGCGGTATCCCGATATATTCGGCGGCGAGCAAGAGACAGGCAGCACCCCAGCGAAGCAGCTGACCCAACCACTGATCTTTGGCGATCCCGATGGCGGCAGTGGCGTGCCACACGGGTAAGTGGAGTTATACGCCTGTCTTTAATATGTGTATAGGCTTCGTGACTGCGTGTGAATACGTGATGTGGTGTATGTGTATTGCGAGACGAAGCAGGACGTAGTTGCGGTATCTGATGTATCATTGGGGCGGTCTGGATCTAAGGACGTACCCCAGCCATTCGACTGGCCAAGTTGTTGCCCTTTGGAGACCCCGATAGCGGCTGTGAACACCATCGAATATTTAGCTTCATTTAGTTCTTTGATTCTTTGTAAAATGCAATTGGTCAGGTGTTCAAGTGTACCGTATTGAGGCCTAATTGATACATGCTACTCAAGGGTAGGCAGGTAGGTATCAGGTAGGTAGGTATGCGCCCATGTATCGGTGAATGGAGTAGATATGTGGATGCACATCTGATGTATAGTATCAATCTGAGAACATGCAGACAGATATGTAGCATGATTGGGATATGCAACGTAAGTTCGTGGGTGTGCACGAGGTCGAGTACTAGTATGGAGAATTGGCTGTGTTTATTTGGACACGCATATACTTATACTTATCAAGCTGTAGATATTTTGACCCCAATTTCAAACCTGAAATGCAATTGGTGCCCGATTTCATGATTGCCTTGGTTGCTCAATACTTAGATGGATAATCGGCCTTTTCTTCATTTGCATACGCACATATATATACCAATGAATGCGAATACCTGCATCGCAATTTTGGCATACTGGCACGTTGTATGCACAGGTTTATAGAAGCGCTTGTTTCTCGATAGAAGGATAAAAACTTCCTATAAATACACACACATATATTAATATTATTATCATTATTATTATTTATTATCATTCTTATTCTTATTCTTATACTTATTGCTATTGTTATTCTTATTCTTATTTTTATTTTTATTACTAGTATTAGTATTAGCATTCGTATTTTTATTGTTATATTATATTATTATAATATATATATATATATATATATTGTGTGTGTGTGTATGTATATGCGTATGTATATGTATATGTATATGTATACGTATATGTGTTTATATAATTTATGTATATATATATATATATATATATATATGTATATGTATATATATGTATATATATATATATATATATGTATATATATGTATATATATATATATATATATATATATATAAATATATGTATATATATATATATATATATATATATGTATATATATATATATGTCCCTCAATATTGACTGCTTACATTAGGTCTCTATCGTCTGCCAAATAATTCCCACCACAGGTTCATGGATGCCCTTGTTGCACGATACAAGGATGAAGAGTTAGACGAGTTGTTGGGCCCTGTTCTATTGGAAATGGTCGCTACGTTGCGCAGTACAGACCTGAACGACAACTTCATCTCACCCCTCAACGCCCTGAGCATGCTGCTGTCGAACAGTGATGTGATGAGGATGGCTGTCAAGCTGCCAGAATGGTGTGTTGGTCGTATGTGATCATGCGTGTTTGGGTGTGATCATCCTCAGTATTACTGCCTGTGGCCTGTCAACCAGGGGAGTACCTGCTTGTGCATAAGTTTTTTTTATGTATGCATGTATGCATGTATGTATGTATGTATGCATGCATGCATGCATGTATGTATGTATGTATGTATGTAAGCATGTATACATTTATGTATGTATGCATGCATGTATGTATGTATGTATTCTTACATGCATGTATGCATGCATGTATGTATGTATGTATGTATTCTTACATGCATGTATGCATGTATGAATATGTATGTATGCATGTATGTATGTATGTATGTATGCATGTATGTATGTATGCGTGTATGTATGTATGCATGTATTTATGTATGCATGTATGTATGCATGTATGTATGTATGTATGTATGTATGTATGTATGTATGTATGCATGTATGTATGTTTCTGCTTATGGAAGTGGCAAAATGATCGTTCTGCCACTCCACGAGGGCTTTGTACCGCTGTAGCTACACCACTCGCTATGTCTTAGCATCCTGTAGTGGAATCATGTATATTGTGGTGTCAATGCCGATGCTGGCGAGTCGATTGCCCTTCCGGTGTACGTGTGGGCACTAATGACCTAGTCTTGTATATGTTTATATCATGCATATGGGTGTATATCCTCTGTTGTGTGCTGTGTGCTGTTAGTATTGTATGCCTATGCATGCGGACAAGTCATCACCGTATTGCGTAGGGTTCTATATATAACATCTCCATATATGGCATCTCTATATATATAACATCTCTATATATATAACACCTCTATAGATAGCATTTCTATATATATAACATCTCTATATATAGCATCTCTATATATAGCATCTCTATATATAACATCTCTATAAATAACATCTCTATTTATAACATCTACGCGCTGGTGCATCATTTCCTCGTTCCGAGCTTGTCACTGCCTTGACGTAGTATATATGTTTGTCGAAACACCTGAGCTCTCTGTGTACGTGTGTTGTGTGTGTATGTGTGTGTGTGTTTGTGTGTGTGTATGTATGTGTGTGTTTGTGTGTGTATGTGCGTGTGTGTTTGTGTGTGTATGTGCGTGTGTATATGTGTGTATGTGTATTTATATTTTTGTGTGCATGTGTGTGTGTTTTTGTGCGTGTGTGTGTGTTTATGTGTGTTTGTGTGTGTATTTGTGTGTGTGTGTGTGTATTTGTGTGTGTGTGTGTGTGTTTGTGTGTTAAAGTGTGTGTATTCTTGTTTTGTCGTGATATATCGGATGTGTCTCTACTTGTACTTGTCTGTTGTGCAAGTCACTCGGCACATGTGTACGTTACTGTGGGCTGCTGTCATAGTAATAAAACCCCCACCTCCACCCTTTAAAATCGTGGGTTTTAGAGGTGGTTGACCACACATATATATGTATAGCGCTTCGACCAAGACATACTGTAAAGCTGCCTCTGAACACTCCAAAGCTTGGCTATGATCCTTCCACTGTACATGTCCTGATGACACTAACAACACATAACGTCCCTTATCGACACTCACAGGACACCAGTAGCAACGGATGCGCTTATTTTCGACGCCCAAGCGATTCTGACACCACTGCTGAATGTCTCCTGCCTATCGACTACACCCCACGACTTTAAGAACACGTACTTTGCCGAGTTTGTGGAGCAGATCGTATCAGATACAGCCTCACAGGTATTTGCGTTAACACATATATATATATATTTATATTATTTTACTATTAAGTTTTTATTTTATTACACTATCCTATTATTCTATTATTCTATTGTTATATTATTATTTATATTAGTATATATTATTATTCTTTGTATTATTATTATTTTTCTTTTCATTATTATTCTTTTTATTATTATTATTATTATTGTCATTATTATTATTCTTATTTTGATTGTATTACTGTATTATTATATTATTATATATATATATGTTATGTATGTATGTATGTATGTATGTATGTATATTATATATATATATATATATATATGTATATATATATATATGTGTGTGTGTGTGTGTGTGTGTGTGTGTGTGTGTGTATTTGTACATGTATATTGCGAATAGCAGATTTTATTCGTTTCGGCCACTCACGGAAATTTCGTACCATTCACATTGACATCATTGGCGAACATTGTCATACAAAGGCATTGATATATCATGAGATCTCTTCATAAGTATCATTCATTGTAATTAGTTCTTTGAATTTTTTGGCCAAAAATGTAGTGTTTTTGAATTTGAGATTTTATTTCTGAAATTCTTTGTCGAGTGCACTACTTAGGATTTCGATTGAACTGGCACTCCGCAACTCTAAGAGTACACCTGATTGGGCTACCTTTCCATGTCCGCTGTTTCTACGATGTAGAATTTATCACTTGTTTTGGGCCATTTTCCGATTTACTTTGGGGATATACGGCTTGTTTTGGTCATTTTTGATTGGCGTGAGGATGTTCGACATAGTCATACTGTATCCCAATTATTCTGGCCATTTTGACTTCGAAACATACCCATTATATCTACTTTTCCAATGTTTGTGGCTTTGCAATAGAGTACAATGATAGCACTTGACATGGCATAGACCACCGTCGCCTAAGCAACCGAACAACCCTCGAGTGCCTTCTATTGATGATAAATTCACTACATACATAGTCATATTCCAATTCTTCTGGCCATCGGACCTTAAAATATACCCATTGCGTATTGTGTCTACCTTTTCGATGCCTGTATTATGTCTACCTTTTCATGCCTGTATTATGTCTACCTTTTCATGCATGTATTAAATATCTCTCTTTTCCCGTCTGTATCATGCCTACCTTTTCATGTCTGTATTAAGTCTTCCTTTTCATGCCTGTATTAAGTCTCTCCCTTTTCACGTCTGTATTATGTCTACCTTTTCATGTCTGTATTGAGTCTCCCTTTTCATGCTTGTATTAAGTCTCTCCCTTTTCACGTGGGTGGCTTGTCATAGGGTACAATGATATCACTCAACCTGGCAAAGACCACCGCCGCCCAAGCAATCAAAACCGCACAGCAGAGTGCCTTCGATATCATTCGGGGTATCCTCAAACTAGCAGACTGCCGGATACCAGTGCTCCAGTGGGTAAGTGAAGAGCATCTGCACACTACAAGCGCCGTCTGTATCTCGTGGTGATTTGATGTACATACATGTACATGCCTGTACTATATGTTAAGAATGATATGACGAGCTGTACGAACAGTTCACTCGAGGGCAATACACACTTGGCTGTATGCCGCGTCTTCAGACCAAAAGTGCGATATTTTAACCTCATGTTTAAGTGATATGTTATAAACATGACATAGGTTTAATTGACTTGTTCTTAATAAGTTTAATTGATATGTTCTTGGCTGAATGAGCTATATGCTGATGCTTGTGCTTCTGATACCTCTTGACACATCTACACATCAGGTGGCACAGTCACTGACCCACAACGTCCAGCGCAACCGCTCACACCCCGCACAGGATGACAAGGTAAGCTCACTCTATGTGCACGCAACAATTGAGTATGTTACGTATGGATTTAGGGTTTTAGAGTTTGGATATATATATGTATATGTATATGTAAATGTATATATATATATAAATGTGTGTGTGTGTTTGTGTCGGTGTGTCTGTGTGTATATGTATATATATATGTATATGAATATATATATATATATACGTATTATGTTAAATGTTAAATGTTAAATGTTATATTTTTTTAGTATACGCATGTACATAGGGCGTGCTCTTTTGTACCTGAATAGATGAATTACTTTGATCCATTCGCTGGCCTGTTGTTCGGTTCTGCGCATGTTAAGCTAGAACCTCCTCGCATGAGGTGATCGTTTTCCTTTACTTTAATACACATACAGAGTCATATATATACTAAACACCAGCGTCAAACGTATCTGTTGAGATGGGCAGGCCATGTGTGTCGTTCTGAACACTATCCTTGCCAACATCGCACACCCATTGCGTGCATACTATGTACACTCCTAGTTCTTGCGATTTCTCTGCGGCTTTTGCACTTTTTTTGCTGCCCTTATCTATCTTCCAGACTTCAGGGCTATTCTTTGCATTCTCCTGACACTCTTATGCATTCTCCGGATACTCTGTGCATCCCCCTGGTACTCCATACATTCTTTTGATACTCTATACATGCTCTTTATACTCGCGATTTCCCATTCTTACCGTGTTTCTCCTTCCCTGCCTTCATTTGCCATCCAGATTTCAGGTCATGGATACTTCCTAAATCTGTGTGAGGTGCTGATGCGTCTGTGCGATCCCTTCACATCGAACCCTGAGGTCCGATTCTTCCCGAAAGTAGTCAACACGTACCTGAATTCACCAGACTGCCGGTTTAAAATGGTACGTTGTCGGTGTGTGAGTGAGGGGAGCGGGGTGTATCTGCCCGTAATCAATTGCGTTTGATAATGTCCTCATATAGTCGGCACATTGCAGTTTTGAAGTGGGATGTTGTCCCATTTTTTTATGTTTGTTTATTTCATTTTGGGGCGTTATTGTGTGATCATTCGAGTGTACGTATTGGACTGCAAGGTGTTACGGGTCACAGAGCGATAGCGTTGTTCGTAGATGGCGCCGTATCCGTCAAAAGAAAACGACAGTACTTCAAAGCATTACCACAATTATTGGAATGAAGTCTATAGTGTACCTGTGCACGCATACTCACACACCTGTGTAGTGCTATGAGAAGACAGTGGTTGCGCAAACGGCCTGAAAGTAGACCGACTTGGCTATGCAGTACCCATTCTGCAAGCCTTTGGTGCATTCAGACTGTGTTCATGGGCTATCAGAGGAAACTCATACGCCATACCTGTCGTAAATTGTATCCTCGGTCCGTATATTCCCAGGAAAGCTAGGTGGTCTTTATTTAAATACCAACCCTAGCACATATAGCAAAATCAGGACCATATCATCCATTCTGCACTGCTTATTATATATATTCGCATACCTGCTCAATACTGTCACATCAGGGTTTAGGGTATCATTCGGGTTTTATGTTTACCGGTCAAATAAGACCCGCGACTGTGTGAGACCAATGACATCAACCTGGAGTGCGTACCGTCACCACACTACCAATACAGTGCTCCTACTGTTCACTTAATGCATGGGTCTACCCATACTCATATCTATATCTCTGCTGGGTAATACTACACGTTACAGGCCAAAGAGGAGACACGGCTCTGTGTTAACAACGAAGAGAATCTCAAGTACATCAAAACATTGGCCGAAACAACAGGGACATCCCCCACGCCACCGCACTTTGTGTGTGAAACGTTCTACATGACCATGTACGCCATTCACCTCGGAGTATGTCTCTTGCGGCACACGGTGTATCCGTATTCCTTTGGTGTGGTTTGTTCGTTTGGTTGTTATATATATATATATATATATGAATATATGTATATATATATATATATAATACATGTATGTATGTATGTATATTACACCATTCCTTCGGGATTTGCCTATGCTCAACCATCTCAAGATTTATCCGTATCGCTATATATCTATCTGTTTGGTGGGGTGTATGTGTGTGGGTGTGAATGTGGATGTATATAGACATACTTTATGCTCATGCACGCCATTTATCTGGGATATGTTCGTTGTATTAGTGCGTGTCATGTATTCTAATTCCTGCATACTCTGGATTTACACATGTGTGTAAGTGTGTGTGTATGTATGTTTGGGTTTACAGGCTTTTTCTCGGAGGTTTTGTTCGAGCTTAGGCGGTTCGCGATGGCTTCTGTATTTCGACAAAAAGTTTCTGTCATCTCACATTATGTCATAGCATATGTACATGATCGATTTATTTATATATATATATATATATGTGTGTGTGTGTGTGTGTTTTAGGGTTTTTATATATGCATGTATGTATGTATGTATGTATACTTTTATGTATGTGTATATATATGTATATGTATATATATATTTATATATATATATATATATATATATATATTACTTTACTCTGTGCCGCAGTGTGTTTGTGTGCGAGACTGTTGACATGACAAACTCTTTAATCAACGACACGCTCTATCCAGATCGACCTCTTGCTTCTGTTTACATTTACGAAGCCAGCTTACCTATGTAGTCCCAGATACGCCGTACCTCTAGGGCTATGTCGCTGTGTAGCTTTTTCGTGATGTGGTCGTCTCTGTTTCTGCGGCTAATGTGCGAGTGTCGCTTATGGGCCGCATAGTCGTAGCCATAGATGGTCGTATGTATCTAGAAGTTGTTTGTGTTGTTTGTAGATGGCTGTATGTATGTAGAAGTTGTTTGTTCGTTTGTTTGTAAATGTCTGTATGTATGTTGAAATTGTTTGTTTGTTTGTTTTTTGTTTGTTTGTTTGTTTGTTTGTTTGTTTGTAGATGGCTGTATGTATGTAGAAGTTGTTTGTTTGTTTGTTCGTAGATGGTTGTATGTATGTAGAATTTGTTTTGTTTGTTTGTTTGTAGACGGTTGCATCTATGTAGAAGTTGTTGGTCTGTTTGTTTGTTTGTAGATGGATGGATGAAGTTGTTTGTTTGTTTGTTAGTTTGTAAATAGATGTATGTATGTAGAGGCTGTTTGTTCGTTTGTTTGTACAGGTCTGTATGCATGTAGAAGTTGTTTGTTTGTCTGTCTGTTTGTTTATTTGTTTGTTGTTTGTTTGTTGGTCACATACACGCATGCATTCACAACGCCTATTCCACGACCAAGTATCGCCTTGCCTAAACCTGGGCCCTGTGTGGTCTGTCGCAGGTGATGAGGGCCATCAATGAGTTTGGTGAACTGAACCGTCAAATCAAACAGTTGACTGGAGTGCTGCAAGACTTCCGTGCCATGCCACCGCCACCCAGCAACAATCCCCTGGAAGCCATGCAACAGAAGCTAGGTATGTCGTAAATTGGTACAGATTTTGGGATGTCGCATATTGGTGCAGATTTTGGTGTGGCGCGAATTGGTATAGTTTTTGGGATGTCGCAAATTGGTCGTTGTACTTGTACAGGTATGTCGCGAATTGGTATAGTTTTCGGGATGTCGCAAATTGGCCGTTGTACTTGTACAATAGTGCAGTAGTACGAGAGCCCTATTGTGTTGTGCTTGTATCATATGCCGTACGGTCCGGTGCGGACCGGGAGGTTGTAGGGAAGTAAGGTGATGTGCTCAGTCTACGCAGGTGTGTACCTGCAAACAAAGTTTGTACCAGACTCAGCTGGAGTGCGTGTGTGCGTGTGTCTGTGCGTGTCTGGTTGAATGGCATCTCGGACTTTCACGGATTCCTGTTACCTGCCCTATTGCGTCACGTGAGCGTAGAGGTTGACATGTGTTTTTAACTTTGCGGGCCGATGCTGGGAGAAAGTCAGGCGCACTGATAGTTCTCCTCGGACAGGACTGTGAAGCTATTGCTATGTACTTAGTTTTGGGTCAGATGTATATAAATATCTCTGTAGATTCTTATTAGATGAATAGTCTTGGGTCAGATGTATATAAATATCTCTGTAGATTCTTATTAGATGAATAGTCTTGGGTCAGATGTATGTAAATATCTCTGTAGATTCTTATTAGTATGAATAGTCTTGGGTCCGATGTATATAAATGTCTCTGTAGATTCTTATTAGATGAATAGTCTTGGGTCAGATGTTTATAAATGTCTCTGTAGATTCTTATTAGATGAATAGTCTTGGGTCAGATGTTTATAAATGTCTCTGTAGATTCTTATTGGATGAATAGTCTTGGGTCAGATGTTTATAAATATCTCTGTAGATTCTTATTAGTATGAATAGTCTTGGGTCAGATGTTTATAAATATCTCTGTAGATTCTTATTAGTATGAATAGTCTTGGGTCAGATGTATATAAATATCTCTGTGGATTCTTATTAGTATCAAGCCTACCTGTGAAGTACACGTACCGATTTTTTTCTCCCAGAAACCAAGTTTGGAAAGAACCATACAATTGATGCCAAATTATTAGTCTTTCGGCTCCTTCGGTGCAGTGTCCATTCACCGTCCTAAAATTTCGTATGAAAAGTAAATAAAAATCGGCTCTCATAATCCCATTTATATTGGGTATGGCAGGTATGGAGAAACTGAGCATGAAGCTGAAAATCCTACACAGCCAGTCCATTGGTCTGCAAGTGGCACTCCTGAACGATGATTTCCTCGAACACGTACTCGCCTTCCAACGGTTACAGTGCACGTGGCTGCTTAAGATCATGGATCCCGAGAATAAGCAGTACGTAGCGCGGGAGTGGTATACACTTTAGCTTACGGGGTATATATACGGAGTGCATCCTGTATATATATGTATATATATATATATATATATATATATATATATATATATATATATATATATATATAGTAGTATATATATATATATATATATATATATATATATATATATATATATATATATATATATATATATGAATTATTAGGTTGTTTGTTGATGTTTAAGAGCTGGCGTTTGTGTAGGAGTAAGTCAATGAGTTTCGTGCCAACCTTTCGGTGGCTCCAGTACGTAATGTGAGCGTGTCATATGGATTGACTTGCGGGTTGTATATATATACGTTTTTACATCCGGGAAAAGATAGCCGCGCGCATGTGTCGTATCTCTGCTATCCGAGGGATCCACACTTGTGTGTACGTACTGCGTGACTGGATATGTGTGTGGGTCTCACATTGCACAGTTACATATGTAACACGGTCGTATATCACTCACACACACACACACACAGCCATGGCCATGTGAGTACGTCAAGCCTGACACACACATGCATACACGATTATCCTACATGCTACCTGCTAACCCTGACGGACCTGTTTAGTTCCTTGTGTTATTATACGGTTTGCTTGCTTGCCCCATCTTGCCGCACACTTGAGTCTGCTACACGTCTGGTACCTTTCACTTACTGCCCCTGTCCGTTCCCAGTGAGGAGTGGGCTATATTTGTCCGGTTTCACACATAGCACACATGCATGCAGTACCTACGCACACCCTACCAACTAGCCCTGGCTTTGACTCTGACTCTGACTCTGATTTCATCCAGACGCCCTTCTCATCTGTTAACGTCTCTCAACGTGTATACACTCTGGCTTCATCCAGACACCCTTTCATGCACTCCCATCTATTAGCCGTCTCTCAACGTATATACACTCTGATTTCATCCAGACACCCTTTCATACACTCCCATCTGTTAACCGTCTCTCAACGGATATACACTCTGACTTCATCCAGACTCCCTTTTGCACACTCCAATCTGTAAACCGTCTCTCAACGTACATACACTCTGACTTCATCCCGACTCCCTTTTGCACACGCTCATCTGTTAACCGTCTCTCAACGTGTACACACTCTGACTTCATCCAGACACCCTTTCATACACTCCCATCTATTAACCGTCTCTCAATGTATATACACTCTGACTTCATCCAGACACCCTTTCATATACTCCCATCTATTAACCGTCTCTCAACGTATACACACTCGGGAGTGTACGAAAGGGCGTGACTCCCATCTGTTAACCGTCTCTCAACGTATATACACTCACATGTCACAGACTGCCCCTGTCTGCCCCCAGTGAGGAGTGGGCTAACCTCCCCGAGTTCGTCGTCACCGATGTGGCCGATTTCTGCGTGTTTTTGTGCAAGTATGTCATTCGAACGTATATGCATGTGTCTATTTCGTCATCGACTTTCTTTTTTAGGATTTTACCTACTGCTGTGGGTCCTCTTGCAGTGTGCGCTGGTGCCTGTATGCAGCCTGTTTGTAGGCTACGGATCGTGTGGAGAATTATTATGAGTCAATTGAGACGAATGCTACACAATGCACGTTTTCTTCCTCGGCTGTATATGTTATCTGTGTATGCATTGTTTTTTTTTAGGGTTTGAGGGTTTGGTTTTACGTTTTATTAATATTCGGACGTACACACACTGGTACTTGCTCCTGTGCCGATGTATGTTAATGCAAAGCGTCTCTGTTGCTGTGTTCGTATGCAGGTGTGTGCGCTGCTGTGCAGTGCTGTAGTTGTCAGTTAACACATCACATTAGCGTGCCCCGGGGTGTCATCATCGGCTTCAACCCGTAGTAGAAGTGTGTATCTACACACATTCGCCTATAGTCTCCCCCTCTACGCTCAACACACATGTCTCTTACACATCATCCACCCACATCCCCCTGTGCAGATACAAGTACCCTGTCCTGGACAACCAGGAGAACTCAGTATTTGTCCAGTTCTGCCTGTACGTCATCAACAGCGCGACCCACGTGGCCAATCCGTACGTCCGTGCCAAGTTCGTTGAGTGTCTGGCGTATTCCTCCCCCACCCACCACTCTGACGGACGCAACACAAAGCTGTTCCTAACCATCGAGCGACACCCCATGGCCATCAAGTACCTCGCCCCCACCCTCATCCGGTTCTGGTCAGGTGTGTGTGTTGTTTGTATCTGATTGGTAGTGTGTTGGTTTTGGTCAGGTGTGTGTGTTGTTTGTATCTGATTGGTAGTGTGTTGGTTCTGGTCAGGTGTGTGTGTTGTTTGTATCTGAGTAGTAGTGTGTTGGTTCTGGTCAGGTGTGCGTGTTGTTTGTATCTGATGGGTAGTGTGTTGGTTCTGGTCAGGTGTGTGTATTGTTTATATCTGAGTAGTAGTGTATTGGTCCTGGTCAGGTGTGTGTGTTGTTTGTATCTGATATGTAGTGTGTTGGTTCTGGTCAGGTGTGTGTGTTGTTTATATCTGATTGGTAGTGTGTTGGTTTTGGTCAGGTGTGTGTTGTTTGTATCTGAGTAGTAGTGTGTTGGTTCTGGTCAGGTGTGTATATTGTTTGCATCGGATATGTAGTGTGTTGGTTCTGGCAGGTGTGAAGGTCAAGTATGCGGCTCCCCTTCACTAGCCTGATTGGCTGTGCATGTTTACCTTACCTACCACTAGTGAGTGTATGGCCTTGACTGGTGTAGGTGCACTCGTAGGGCGTCAGTGCTGGTGTATTCAGTTGCTTTAGGGCCGGTGTGTACTACCCTACTACATAGCACTGTGAGGTTGTCAGGTACACGGGTAGTTTCAACAGAAGCCTCTGAATGCATACGCGTAAATAGGCGTTAATATCTGTCGTGGACTTTCAATACACATACTGTAAACGTTTTGCTCTTTAAAAACCTCAGGCGTGTTCTATTCACAGCCGGGTGGGGGTCATTCGGTGAGGAATTGTGTGGTCCCTATTCGTCGGTTGCGCATCCCCATAGACCGTTTCATTCTGCACTGATTGAGCCGGCTGTAGGTATACCACGAACCCATTCCTATCATACCTGATGACAGCTCTTCTAACACGGTCCGTATCCTCTTCCCCTCTGGCCCCATCCTGTGCGTTGTGCGTGACTGCGTGCAGAGGTCGAGAGCACAGGCGCACACAACCAGTTCTACGAGAAGATATCCATCCGTCACAACATCAGTGCCATTCTGAAGGCTCTCTGGGACAATGCTGAGCACAAACAAGCCGTGGTGGCCGTGTCTGAGAACCAGGAGGTCTTTGTGCGTTTCGTCAACCACCTGATGTATGTGGAGCGAGCTACGGTAACAAAGCACATGCATACTGTGTGCATGTTTTCTTGGTGGGACAGTTGGAAGAGTTTTGTAGAGAAGACACTTTTTGTAGAGAAGACACTTGCGTCCCGCATACATCATTGTGGACATGTATTCATTTGTATGTATATATATATATGTGTGTGTGTGTGTGTGTGTGTATTATATATATATATATATATATGCATATATATTCTTTGTGAGCATGTATTCATTTGTATACATATATATATGTGTGTGTGTGTGTGTGTGTGTGTGTGTGTGTGTGTGTTTGCTTGTGTGTGTGTGTGTGTGTGTCGTAAGTGTGTATTATTTATTTATTATATATATATATATA